GTAAGAGGAAAGGAGAAAGAAAAGCAGAGAAGTTAAAAAGAAAAAAAAAACTGTTTCTAAAAATTACAGCATTGCAAGATATATAAATAAACAATAGAATCAAGTAGAAAGCTAAAACTTGTAAAACCTGTAAAGTAAAGAATAATGGCAACTAAAAAAATGCAGGAAGATAAGAGGAAAAGAGAAAAAAAAAGAAACTATACCAGAGAAAAGATTATCTGTTTTTTTTTTTTTTTTTCCTGCTCAAAACAAATCTCAAGCATATCCAGAAACAGGGGACATCTTAACCCCCACAAAACATAATCCCCCTCAAGAAGTTCATGATTGCAATCCCTTAACTGAAGAGATACTGACAGACTATTTGGATAGATTTTTAAACAGTATAAAAGAAGATATTCAGAACAGCTCTGTGGAATTAAAACAAGAATTTCAAAATATGCAAGAAAATCTGTGTTCAATAGAGTCACATTATGTACAGATGGAACTAAAATATAAGCATCTTCAATCAACTGTTTACATACAAAAGTGGTTCAATTAGAAGGCAAGATAATAGACATAGAAGATCATTCAAGATCAAATATTCGTAATATCCCTGAAACTATTTTTGATAAAACGCTGAAAGAATTCTTAATGGAATGTTTTGGGAGCTTAGAAGGTCTAAATGACTCTGAACTGGATAGATATCACCGGCTGCCAAGACTCTGGGGAGGCTAATAGATGGCTGTTTGTTCGGTACATAGAATCTACCGAACGGCTGTGCATAAAGGCATGAATAAACCTTTCTGCACAGTAAAATTAACTGCCGGTCCATAATCCAAAGGCAGCAGACAGGCAACCAGGCTCCTCCAATGCAATGTGGTGAGATTGGTCTTGTCAGACCCATTAATAAAAGGATTTTGTTTGTTACTTTGTTTTAAAAGTAAAGAATAGAAGTTAAATGTGTATGCAGATGATTTGATTTTGACGCTAACTGACCCTGTCGAGTCATTAGAAGCACTTATGAAAGTTTTGTTAAACAATTCCTTCTTTACCTCTCTACAGAGAGTATAGAAATAAGCGTATTATTACATAATGAAAATGTAGGACAAATTGCATCAAAAGCTAAGAATGTATTGTTAACAGTGGAAGCTCCTACCATAAATATAAACGTTCAAAAGTGGGAGAAGTTGTTAAATATTAAAATTTTGAAAACAGAATGGGATCAAGTGATACCACAAACAAGTAAAATTATTCATTGTTTAAATATTTTAGAAGTAGTATTCAAAGTGTTGAATTTTTGGTATATGGTCCCATCAAAGATGGCAAAGATGTATAACTCTAGTTCTCCGTTATGCTGGAGATGTAATAGGGCGGAATGAACATTTTTGCATATTTGGTGGGAGTGTGAGATAGTTAAAGGGTTTTGGCATCTGGCCCTTAGCAGATTAGAGCGCATCATAGGGAAAAGAATATCCAGAGGCCCACATAACACTTTGCTACAACTCAATCTCCAAACACTTCAAGTTAAGGAGAGATTTATATATTTACATTTTGTGGCGGCAGCCAAGCTAACAATTGCACGAAAATGGAAGTGTTTGAAAAACTTTGTTTTTGAACAATTAAAAATACAAATTCTTTATCAACTAAGGATGGAAGCTCTAATGCATATGACAAAAAATAACGTGGATAATTGTAGATATTGGATAGAGAGAGAGGAGAGTTTTGTAACGGACCGTTTTGCACAAAAGGGAAAAAAAACGCTTAGACGATAATCCCCTTTCAGAGACAGGCACAGCTACTGTAGAATCACCAAAACTCACGAATTGAATACAAGTGAATGCACCAAACACCCGAACTGCATACAAGGGAATGCTCCAAACACCCAAACTGCATACAAGGGAATGCTCCAAACACTCGAACTGCATACAAGGGAATGCTCCAAACACTCGAACTGCATACAATAAGTGAATGCTTCAAACTCCCGAACGGCATCCAATATAGCACTCGAAACAGACGAACAGGAACCATATGAATTGCTGCTACCAGACGAATAGGAAAAGCATCCAAGCGGCTTACACTCCTAGTAATCAGTCTCTATCAGCATTCAGTAAATCCCCCCAAAGACGAGACAAGGCTCCGTGTTGAGGGTCAAGCAGTGGTCTGTTTAATGAGGGCTACCTGCCCAGTATTTATGCAGGTCTCCCACCTGGTAGACACTCCCCTAGGGGACCAGATGGAAGACTGTAACAAAAGACAGACATGTACCAATTACAGACATAAATCCTTCTGCACAGTAAATGTGGCAAACCTAGCCACTTGGACAATACAAAGAGACTGTGCCTTTAAGGGTTGCCTGTATGTCTAGAGAGATATGTGCTTCATTCTGTATGTGTATGCTTTATGTATGTTCTGCATTGCCTTTAACCGAATGCAAATGGCGGTTTTGTATGGGGATTTTCTTTCGTTTCACGAACGGCACTTTAGAAAGCCGTTCGTGAACCGAACGCGATACCCCCTAATAGCCCACACACTTAGAAGCGTGTGGCGCTAGTTAACCGATTGCAACATTGTTGCAATCGGTTATTAGAGGCTCTCCTGGGTGGCCGTCGTTCGACTACCGACCATGCGGCGGTCGGCCATCTTGGATCCTTTGTTCCCTCAGCGGTGCTAGGTCGTCGAGCGCATGGTACTAAAAACGGCTACTCGACGGCACGAACACCGCTGAGCCTCCAGGACGTTCGGGAGTTTCGGGACATTCGGTATTTTGTTCCCTGCAAGCAATCGGCTCTTTTTATATGTTTTATCAGAAATCTGTCTTTCGTGCGGCGTTTGGTTATTTTAGCTGGGATCTGAGCGGTAATCTCACGAATGATGCGCTCAGACCCCAGCTATCTACCGAACGTCCATTCGTGTAAATCCACCATATATTCAATAAGTTATGGATTTTTGTGTGAATTGTCAGTTCTGCTGCACGAGGGGATAATCCACTTAACGGTGCATTCTGGGAAGATGATCCCTCTCGTGCAGCGGTGCCTGATGGGAGAAATATGCTGTAATGTAAGTCCCCCATGTAGTCCCCTCTGGGAGTGCCCCTGGGGAGGGACTCAGGAAACCCCTTGCATGGGGACTTGTATAAATTGTCCAGCCGATTAAAAAGGATTTCAGTTGACTCTCAGAACTGTGTCTCGTCCGGTTACTGGGAGGTTGGGGATATTGCCTTGTTGTTTCAGCGCTTGACTGTGGATTCGTTCCTGAACCAGCGGAATTCGTGGATTTATTATTGACGTTCCGCTACAATTGGTGGCAAGCGACGGGATCCAACTCTACAGCCGAATACAGCGCATTCGAATGAAAGGAACAACCGAACGGAAAAAGGGAAAGGCAATT